CATGTGACATCCACAGGTGGGCCGGAGGGGAAAACAGTTTTTACCCGTTGCTATGGAGGCATGATTAGCTGGTGTGTCTTCAGAGCCTGCCGAGGAGAAATGAAGCTATTTTCTTATATAGATGTCATGAAATCGATCCCGGCAGAATTCCGGGAGTCAAAGGCTAAGCAGGTTTGCCCGAATGCCTCCTGTCACTCGATACACAAATACATCTAGCCAGGGGACCTGAAACAAGTGTCACTTGTCAGCCAGAGCCGGGCACAAAAATGACTTTTTAGTCTCCTTTGGAGCTGTTTATGCAACACAACAAACGTGCGTTCAATAAAACACAGCAGTTATCCTCAGCGAAAACGAGCCTTCGAAAATGAAGCAAAAAAAAAAAAAAAACCACCCTTATTGCAAGGGGTGACTTCAGAAGAAACTTTTCCCTTATTCTCTCCAAATGCTAAAAGCAAACCTGATGTTCTTCTTTTAAAATGTGTCTGCCTCTAGCTCTTTGGCACAGGTTCGCTGCTGGGAGGGCCGGCAATCTATTTAATGACTGCATTGACGTCAATAGCATAACTGAAATACTTACTAAGATGCATGAGTCCAACTTTCGGGGGGTGTGTTCGAGGCAGGCGGGCGCAACACGCGGAGCGGACTCCCGGCAGGAATGAACTGTCCCGGGAGAGCCGGGACGAGCCTCGGGACGGCTCCGTGCTGGCCGGAGCTGCCTCGGCCCCGCTCGGAAATTGGCCTCGAAACGCTCTTTTAATCTGACGAGAGGCGAGAACCGCTCCGGAGCTCGCCAGCCCTCGTTCAGGCGCGTCATGAAGCTCATGATCCAGCTGATTTCTTACACGGTTTTTGTTCGTTTCGGGATAATCTGCATCATGCCTGCGCCGCATCCTTTAAAAATAATTATCTGTAGGTGCTCACAAGCCTCCGTTTGTGCACGCAGCCAGAGACTCTGTGGCTCAGCTGCTCAGGAACTCGCGGTTCCTCTGCGCTCCTGTAAAAGCCCAAAGCACCACAACCATTTGACTTCTACAGTCGCTCTCCGAATCAAAAGGTCAAATCTTCAGCCGAAGTCCCAGCAAAGAAGCAGAATTTCAAAATGAATCCACTACTCCGTGCGTGCCCAGAGCCATTGTGCACGTGCCGAGCAGAGGAGGATGCTGCGAGAGCAGCAGCTCCGTGCTAATTACTCGGGGTTCAGAGATATTTGTAACCCAGAGCTCACTTGGAGGCACAAGGCTCCCCAGCTCCCACACAGACTTGGGGCTCTCGGCAGCGCCAGCATTATCTAGTCTTTGTTGATGCTTTACACAAAGGTTCGTGCACGAGTCTGTGTACGTCCTACACCCACAGGAAAAATGAAAGAGTACGAGTTTGGAGGTCGTGTAAAGGCATGTGAGAAGTGCAGACAAACGTGCCGAGGTACAGGAAAGCAGAGCTAGGGCACAAGGAAGAAAAACACCGACCCTTCCCTCCCATCCCCAGAGAGGAATTTGAACAAAGCTTTAATCCCCGAAATGCTGCAGGTGACATATCCCAAAGGGCAGCACCCCCCCAAGCCTGGGGCTGAAGCAGATCAGCAATATTGTGCCATTAATTGTGAGAACTATCATGAATTGTGAGGAGAACTATCATTAATTGTGGGGAGAACTATCATTAATTGTGGGGAGAACTGCCTGTCATTAATTGTGAGGAGAACTGTCATTAGTGATGCTGAGAGTGTCCAAGGGGATCTGGAAAAGTCTCTGCAACCCCCCCCCCAGTCTGGGAAAAACTGGGTGCTGTTTGACCCACAGCTCTGTGCTTTGCTCCTGTCACCACTGGCAGTGCATCGAACAGGAATGGGACAACACTGCCCATCCCAGGATTGGTGGTGTGGGAAGGAAACAGGTTGGGAAAAGTTTGCACCCAATTTGTGGAAGAATGAGAGGCTTGGACTGACGGTGGCAGCCAGCGAAAGGTGATTTAATTCAGAGGGAATAAGGGTCGCTGAAGGGAATAAATATGGAAGAAGGAACCAAACCAAGCAGGAAAAGCCAGCTGTGCTGCTGGTTAAAGGTGTTACTGGTTGAACCATTGGGTAGGCACTGCAGAGCTTTCACTGGGGCCAGGGGAGAGCTGGAGGGACAAGGGAAGGCACTGATGGATTCCTGAGCCCAAGGTGGCACAAAGGTCAGAGAGTAACTGTGGCAGAGGCCACACTCAGCAGAAACAAAGGGGACAGGAGAAAGAAACCTCAGGAGAAAGAGCCCTCAGGGACACTGTGTGACACCGTGTCTCTCATTGTTCCTGTCACCCGGAGGGGGCTGAGCCCTGGCCCTGCACAGCTGCTGGGGATGCAGTCACACACCACGCAGGAACCCCACACCATCCTGCCCAGCTCATTAAGGACTGATGGACTTTTGCTATGGCTTTGTATTTCCATGTTATGGTTTCTCAGTTAATTCATAAAAGTGATTTTGTGCGTTCCTGTGAGCCGCAGTTATAACAAAATAACAGGAAAAATCTGCCAGATTTACTTCAGCTGATACCAAGGACAAAACACAGGATGTTCAATCCATATTCCCCTTCCTTCTCTGGCTGTGCTTGCAAGGTTAAGAAAGCTCTGAAATACACAGTGACACCAGCAGTGCCTTTCAAAGCCCTTTGTCCCAGGAAAAACCTGCCCAAAAGCTTTTCTGCTTAAAGAAAATGAAAGAAAAAAAGAATTTACTCATTTTACCACAGCTCATTTGTTCCAACATGGGCCTGGGTCCTCGGTGATGCAACACCAGCAACAGATTTGGCTGTTTTTACTTGGAAAATCCTGGAATATTCCAGCTGGAGTAAATAGCTGGCGTGTATTCCTTGCAGTACAAATGCTGGATGTAATTTGCCTCCCTCCAGGGTAATTTTATTAATGCAGCCTCGTTTGCTTTAAGCCCTGAGTTCTGTATTTCTCAGAACAGGATATAAATCACCCCGCTAATGACAAATCAAAGGAGACATCCACAAGATGCTCACAGTGATGTCAGTGGGTTGTGGTAAAGCCGTGAATCAACTGGTGACATTGGAGGGTTAAAATCAAATTCCAACCTTCAACAAACCTCGTGAATCTAAGCCCAGTCCATTCCAAACACGGTCTTTTAACTAGAGAGATGTGAAGCAGCCTGGTCCCAATCAAAACACGACTGCTTCCTTCTGCAAAACCTTCAGGAAAAACACTCTGCATCCTCCCAGCTGCTGGCACAGAATGGGAAGGGCTCTGATAGGAAAGTCTCTCCTTCAGTTCATCATTTCCAAAGCAGAAGCCATCAAAGGGGGGAAAAAACGGTGCAAACACTGAAAAAAATGTCTTAAAAATCTCTGTTCTTGCTGAATTAAATGGAAACTTCCTTAGAAAGTCAAAGGTTGTGATTGTTTGCTGCTGCCTGGAAAGGAATTCAGTGTGACAGCGGCTATGAAGAGGCAGAGGAAGGCAGTGACCTGAAGTTAACCAAGAACCCCAGGATTTTCTACCAATAATGCCAATTTTGGCTGGTTTTATGTAGGAAAGCACACAATTTCCTATTAATCTCAAAAATGAATCTCCTTTTACCTACCAAGTGTCCCAATTTACCAAAGCTGTAATGATCCAACTCAATTTAAAAAATTTTATTTGAAGATTTCACCTAAAAGCAGTTAAAATTCATGCTTAAAAACCGATTTTCTTGAGGGGCCACAAATCCAATCTCTACAAGGTAGCACAGCACTTGCTCTACAGTTCTGTGTGTCAAACACTTCATTACTAAAGGAATTTTCACATATTCCCAGCATTAGAAGCTTGGATCAGCTAAAAAATTCCAAGTGTCCTACAGCTCTCATTGGAAATAGTGTAGAAAAATATCCCCAAAGCGTTAAAAAGTTGAGAGCAACTTTTTCCATGGAAAGTGTTAAGAAAATGAACCTAAAAATTCCTGGAAGGGCACTCTCTCCTCATTATTATATTTTCTAAGTTATATAAACAGATCCATTGAAAGCCTAGGAAATTTTCCATGATTTTTTTTTTTTTCCACACAGGCACAAACTCAAAGCTTTGCTAGACCTAGATTTTAATCAGATGATGAGTTGTGTTCCTGCTGGCTGTGACAGAAAGAGAAGGAGTTTAAGATTGTGTTGTCCAGTTTTGGTTTTGTATCAGAAGTTTCCATCTCCCATTAACAAGTTTGGAGGAACCTAACCTGGAAGTGTCCAGGACTCTGTGTGTCCCCTGAGAATAAATAACACACAGCAGGAGAGGAAATGATACTTATCCAGGCTTCACACGCTGTGAAAATTAAGCTTTATTAGTCCCTCCAAGCATGTAATTATTGGAAAGGCTGAGATTAAACCTTACAAATGGGCACTGATCCAAATCTTATCTCCTTCTCTCCAGAGCAACCTTTGAATTAGTGCAAGCAGGGCCAGCTCTGATCCTGAGTGGGGTTCTACAGCCCCTCAGCCTGGCTAAACCCAGGTGGCAAAGCAAATAAACCTGTCCTAAGTCATCAGCTTCTGCTGCCCATCCTCGTCCTTCCCCCTGCCTGAGCAGCCCTCGCGGCGCTGCCCACCCCACCTTGCCCTGGCACCCCCTTCCCAGCAGGAAGCCAAGGAGGTCTCACCCAGGAGAGGTTTGAGTACACAGATCACATGGAAACAAACTGAAATAAGCAGAATAAAAAAAGATCCAGCTGTGCCTGAGCCTGTTCGAGGCTCGTAGGCTGAGGCTTGTCCAGGCCTGTGCTCACAGGGACTCACAAGAACAGCAGCCACTGTGGCCATGACTATCAAACCAAAATCATGTTCATCTCCTGTGCTAATACACCAGCAGAAACCCCAAACCAAACGATTAAAATAACAATATTTGGAGCCTGATGGCTCTCCCCTGTGAGCTTTGCAGGAGGAACCCAGAAGGGCACCGGGGAGGGCTCAAGGAAGCAGATCTGGGCAATCAATGTCGTGTGCACTTGGCCTGGCAGCCCATCCCCAAATCCCACACGTACCTTGCAGGTTCACTCTGGAGACAGGTGGCTGACTTGTGGCTGGAGATCTCCTGAGAGGGAAAAAGAATTCTCTGTCAAGAGGTGGGATTTTATCTTTCCAAACCCTGCCAGCTCCCTCGGTTAAAAATCCTTTTCCATTCTCCCAAAAAACCCCAAACACTTCACAGGGATTTGTTGAGCAGCACTGGCAGATCTGTTAGGAAAAGCCAGAGATGGCTGCTCCCTGCTTGTTCCATGGGCTGGAAATGAGGAGAAATGGAACCAACCCATGCTGCCTTTGCAACTTCCTGCTCAAAATATGCCTGCAAGCAGCAAGGACCAGGCTCTGGTGGCTCCCCCACAGCCAAGGCCTCTTCCCAGAACATTTTTCCCTACAGAGTCTGGAATGGATCCTCAAGTGATGTCAAAATGCTGCAAGGCAATGCCACAGGTAAGGGCAGAAGTGTGCCTTTAAACCCTCCAGTTTGGCACCCTGAAGAGAGGAAGAGGCTGCTGCAGTCACTATTGTTTAGCTCTGAAATGGCTGAAGGACACTTTGTGGACTCTGAGCAACAATTTCAGCAGCAATTCCTGGATTTTGGAGGGGCCAAAAGCTATTTGAATAAAATTGGTTCAAGTCAAGCCAACAGGGTCTGACTGGAAAAAGGTGCAGATTCTCTTCAAACATCAACACAGTTCCCTGTCAGACTTGCCAAACAAAACTGTTTTTCAAACTGAAACCATCATCAGAGACTTGTTTTTTAAAGGAGTTAAAAAGAGTTGACACCAAAATCAAGACACTTCAGTTTGGATTGACTGCAGTACTTTAGGCTGACCAAAAATGAAACTTTGGGCTTCTGCTTCTCTAAAGAAGTTTCAGATCCATTTTAACTGAAGCCAGATTTCCCCACACTCTCCCTTCGCCAGCCTCCTTCCTAACCCCAAATTTCGGAGTCAGCCACTGAACTGCAACATCCATTATTCGCCAGCTCTCCTTTGAAGCTCGAATCAAAGCAGGCAGAGCGGCTCAATTGTAGCTCCGGGGGGTTCTTCAGAAGCGCTCCGGGAAGGGCTCGCTGCCCAGGTGAGGTCCGGAGCGCAATTCCAGCCGCGCTTCCAGCCCTCCCTGCCACCCGAAGGCTGTTCTGGCAGGATGCGCAGGACCCGGCTCTCTGAAGGGTTCGGCACACGCTGGGCGCTCAATTCCCTGCAAATGTGCCCCGACCTGCCTCTGCTGAGCCTTTGAAAAGCCAAATCTCGAAATCTCTAAGAAACAGAAACTCCCCGACAGGGACAGCACGCCGCGGCTGCAGCACTCGCGGAGCGGAGGGATGCAAGCTGCAGGATCTCCAAGCCCTGAGCTGCACAGACATGCCTTTGGGGGGGTGCGGACGCTGTTCCCCGCTCCGGAGCCAGCCTCACATCCGTGTGCCCATCCTGCTTTCCAGGCAGGGCGCGGGATGGGTTTGACAGCAGCGTCCCTCGCCAGCCCCCGCTGCCCGCTCCTTCCCTCCCGCCGGGCTTGGCTCGGAGCGGGCTCCGGGCGCTTCCCGAGCTGCAGCTGCCGAGCTCCGGCACTCCAAAGCCATTAATCATCCCCTCCCCTTCTCCAATCAGGAAACTGCCTCAAGAGCCCTGACGTTAAAGGCCAAAAAATATGACTGCCAGTTGTGTTTTTTCCTCCCGGACTTAACATTCATATTTTCCAGCAAATATGTAGGACAGCATCCTCTTTTTCCTTGCTCGGGCCAGGAGGGGTGGAGGAGGAGGAGGAAAAAAAAG